GAATCTTACATGTGTCGCGATCCCGCGGGGTGTTTCTAATCGGTTTCTATCGGATAGTGCAGAACAGCAAAGCACTAAGCAATTGGCCCACACCAGGCCGTGTTTCGCTCTCGGTCCCTTTATTCTCTCGACCTACTGAGCTTTGCCGACCACAAACGTGAGTGGATCCCGTGTACGTGTATGTGGCGATCGTGGTAGACTGCCATCTGGAGGCTTGTGTATGGAACAAAGAACTGGATGTCTCGGAAATAGGGACTCTGGGTTGGTATTGTACCCTGGGCAGGTTGACAATTGATCAAATCTCTGTGGACAACTACAGCGAACAATCCATTGTTCGAATGCGCACCTGCGGCTGCTTCTCGGTCCCCGGTTTCCTGGGAGCAGTACTCTTTGATCCTCTCCATACTGGCTTCGCCGTGTCGCCTACATACACTACATCACCCGAACGTTGCATATGGTTGCTGACCCGATAGAACCCAAAAAGATTAGGGTCGCTGCTCCTTTCAATTTCTCAGTCTCTCCTTTTGCATTTCACCTACCGTCCACCCTCACCTTCTCTATATACTCTGCCAGCCACTCGTTTTTCCCTGTTTTATTTTTTCGTTTCCCCGTAATTATTCACGCTGCAGCCTACACTATCAACTCGGTGTTCGCCTTATGAGACTGAGTTTGGATTGAGTAGAGTACTGGTTTCTTTTGACCACTCTGTTGCTTCTGTTGTCCATCCAATCACACTTTGAACTGGAGAAGCTCTAAGCTATGGGTGTACCGAACCCAGTCGACAGCATGGATGGTGCCGAATGCTCGGCCGTGTATATTGATCGCCGTGTAGTCCAAGAACGGTGGGTATATCAAAACCCAACTGATTCCTCGAATGCCTCCAGTTCCGGTGCCTTTACTTTTCCCGACGAACCCGATTCTCTGCGATCAGATGTGGAGGTTCTACTGGGGGTCTGCAAGCGAAGTATGTCTTGTGTTTCACCTGGTACTTCTCACGGGTACTGTTACTGACTGGAATCTCCGATATAGTTTATTTGTGTAATGTTGGCCCCTCTCTCGCATCCAAACTCGCCGAACTTAGTGACGACGCCATCACGACCTGCAGACCTATCTTTGCGTTCTTTGACGTCGATTTATCAGGGGAAGACGCCGGCTTATCGCGTCGGAAGAGTGGCCGGGGCTCATGGCCTGAGGTATCTCCTCCATCTCCGGCGTCGTTGCGTCGCGGCTTCACCTTCTCATCTCAGTCCGAGGGGGCGCACGATCTGAAGTTATTGTCGGGATTGTCTGCCGACATTCAAGTTCAAGAGTCCCCAAACTTAATCGTCCCGGTTGCTATCTTGCGCTCTTCTGCTCAGCCCCCTAGTAGTGTGCCTGTTGACCCCCAGCGCAATGGGGCGATCCCCGAATTTCAGCAGATATCGAAATGCTTAGATGCGGGAGCCGTTGACGTCTTAGCGTCACCCCTGAGCATCGCTAGGATGCAAGGCCTTGTAGTCCACGCCTTCCGTGCTCGCAAGTCCGCTTTGAAAGAACAGTCCCGCTTCATGTCCAGAAAAAAGTTGCGCAAGCATTCGTGGGTGGGCGTTCACGATGAGCAGCCCTATGCCTACTTAAGAGAAGCAATGTGAGTTCATCCTTGATGGTTTCAACCATCACTAGACTCGAACACAGTACTTACTGTGTTGTGTAGGGTGTCGAAGCTTATGAAGGGCATCTGCAATCCCGAAGAGGTGATCGAAGAATTTCAGGATCGGTATGTACTGCAGTACCTATAACACCAACTCGTCTAACTCATCATTCCAGGAGTGAATTAGATGTGAGCCCAGAACGTGAGGAGTTCATCAAAGAGCAGATCGGGAACTGGAACTTTACCGCTCATGATTTCTCTGATGATGAGCTTGTGTTGGGGGCTTCTGAAATCTTGCACCATGCCTTCACTATGCCAAATCTGGAACAGTGGCAATTAACGCCAGGTAAGTGAATCATCAAGTTCTGTGGAAATCTGCTGCGGCGGCTGATTGGGTGCGGTTTCTTGTGAATTAGGTGAACTTCGGACATTCTTACTTGCGTGTCGTGCGTCCTATAACTCCTTTGTTCTCTACCATAACTTTCGACATGCTATTGACGTCCTGCAATCCGTATTTTGTTTTCTCCTTCGCATCGGCGCCCTGCCCCCTTATGGGTCCGTCACCCGAGATACTGATTCGAAATCTCCTATTGCTTCCCTTCTCACACCCTTCGATACTCTTACGCTGTTGATATCGGCAATTGGTCATGACGTGGGCCACCCTGGAGTGAACAACTTTTTCCTGGTCAAGCTCAACGCACCGCTGGCACAGCTCTACAATGACAACTCCGTGTTGGAGGCATTTCACTGCGCTGCCTTTTCCCAGATCTTGCGCCGCTATTGGCCGTCCGCATTTAAGGATAAGCAGATCCGCAAGTTGCTGATCAGCTCGATCTTGGCAACAGACATGGGCGTGCACCAGAAGTTCATGGAGCGACTTGGGTCTTTGCAGGAGAAGTTCTATGAGAACGGCCAGACTGTTGATGGATGGAAGCCCCAGGATCTCGATATGTACAAGACCCTTCTTTGTGGTCTGCTGATCAAATGCGCCGATATCAGTAATGTGGCGCGGCCGTGGGATGTGGCTGAAAAATGGACCAAGATTCTGCAGGAAGAGTTCGCCAACCAGGGCGAGATGGAAAAGGAGGTTGGCATGGAAACTGCTTTGTTCGGCGGGCCACCAGAACTCGGAAACGTATACAAACTCGCCATAGGTCAGATCGGCTTTATGTCTATATTCGCCCTTCCTCTATTCGAGGGTGTGGCGGATATCTTGCCCGATATGCGATTCACCGTTGAGCATATTCGAAATAATCAATCCAGATGGCATCACCTCGCTGATTTGGAGAAAAGGAAGCAGGCTTTACTGGACGAAAGTGGCCCTGAAGACGTGGTATCTCCCTGTACTCAGAGTCCAGCCGTGAGTTTGAAAGGCTTCAAGGGTCTTCGTGCACCGTTAAAGGCGAGTGGACCGGATTCCCCTGCCAAACAATCATTCCCACCCAATGAAAACAGTAGCCGGCGCGAAACAGATTATTTTGATGCAGTCCACTCGTCCGTTGATTCTGAGACCTCGCGCGGGAGTCTTAACGAGAACACCATCAGCCCTGTCGTCTCTCCGGATACAGCCGGTCCCTCAATGGACATAACTGGAAGCCCTTTGCCCTCGCAAACACCATCGCGAAAGTCCTCCAACGCTGTGCCAGACCTTGCCATGGTCTCCATCGCAGGCGCGTCCCCAGACAGAAATAGGATGCGGACGGATTCCGGAGTATCCAATGGAGCCGCGGACGGCCACTCTTCCCTTGACACGAACCACTCTTCAAGAGATCCCGCAGTCCTGGCCGCCGTCATTTTCTCTAACTCGGGTAAGGAGGACGATTCACAGGATCATTCGAGCGTCCGCGACAGTACGGGGGAAATCACAGGCGAAAGACCGAGTAGTTCACGCAATGGTCCACAAACATATCGTCGCCATCACGCCAACACTAACTCATCGGGACGCACATCTGGCCCATCGAACTCTCAGCGGAACAGTTGTACCCGAACCCACAGCATCAGTAACTACAGCAATAACATGACCCCTATTTCTCCTGCTACGAACGCAACCAGTTTCCTTACTGTAGATGACGGTGAGGACAAGGGCTTTAACCAGGAAAGCAGTAGCAGGAGCGATCGTGAAAGTGATAGGGACGACGCGCGTCCAGGCTCTTCCAATATTGACCGAGAATCGGAGGGTCATCCACCACAATCCAGCCATACTTCCCATTCTCAGTCGGATGAGATGAACAAGACTCATGCTATGGCGCCCGCGAAAGGGAGCGGCAATGGCTATTCTAAACAGTCCACACACTCCCCTGGAAGCCCAAAGCATGACGGCAATGGTCAGCAATGGGATGGGTCCAGCGGCGGAGAGCAGCCGTCGCGCAAGTTGTTGAAACGTCGAAGTCGGCTTCGATTAGCATTCTGGAAACGCAAAACCCATCATTCTCACCATCATGAGTTGAGCGGTGAATCATGATGGTCTGTCTTCAAGAAGAATTCATCGATCAATGTTCTGTTTTACATGGTTTCAAGGTGTTTATGGCTGGGATTCATGTGGATCAATGGGAGGATTGGGTAATGCATTGGCTGATGACCCGGAATTACGATGGAATTGCATGATGTTCACGACCAGCTCGGTTGACATACGAAACCGAGCAACCCAAAAGAAAAAGCACGGTTCCCGAGGTAGACGCGCGGGATGGCCCGCGATATATTGGCATGTGCATGTTTTGAGTCCTTTCGGATGACATCCCCAATGACCATATCTTAGTGATATTGGCGATGCTCTCCGCACACCAGCAGTACGTTCTGGCTTTCCGAGCATATCAATCCCACTTGTGGATGTCGGATATCCTGATCAGATGATATCTGAAGTCAGGAGGTCAGCCTTTTTTGACTGCAGGGACGCATTAAAACTTTCGAAACCCCTATTATATACTCTTCTTCTTCTTTTTATCAACATTCTGACGCCTTCGTTCTGTCTCCTGTTTCCTTTTTTTTCCCCAATATTCCCTTTTATTCCACATTATTATCGTTCACTCACTTTGACCATTTCCTTGTTCTCCTACTTGATATTTTTTACCGGATAGGCTTTGGGTTGGCGGACATAGAGTCAGGGCGTGGTTTTGGCGTTCTGAGGTTCACCATATGGCTGGACTGTGCCTTAAATTTCATTTGTGTTTGAAAACACGGGTCCCTAGTTGCATTTTGCTATCGCTTTTCTTTTTCAGTAGCATGATTGTGGAATATGTCAATGCAGTGATATATATATTCATCCACCTAAGTTGTCGAGCATAATCTATCTAGATCGTTCCAATACATCTTGCTTGTCGCGGTGTCACTGTCACCTAGTCTCACTCACCCCGCGCTCTGTCACATAGTATAACAAGGCAATCAGTAGTTTCGCATGTCTATACATTACAGGTATATCTATCCTTGGGAATCTGATGTACACCGTGCAATCCCATCTACCCAACCAATACCTACCAACTCAACACCATCACCGACAATCCTGACACTCCTTCTCACCCTTATCTACCTTCTCACTCCCCTGTCCCTCACTCGAACCCACCCCAGCAACACCCCCCTCCTTCACAGGCACATTAGCAGCCCTCAACGCCCGATCCGTATGCCCCAAATCCCTCGACGGATCAATCACATTCCGCACCAACGACTTAAGCACTTTCACCTCTGCACAATATCAGCATCGCCTCCCTTCCCCACCAAAAGCAAGAACGAAACAAACAAACAAACAACAAACCCCAAACCAAACAAAAAGAAGATCCAAGCGACGATGATGTACGAGGTACGTACCAGGAAACCCCCCATTCGTCTTCCGATCCCACAAGATCGTCTCTTGCGTCTCCACATCCTCCGACGAGGAATGATATATCGTTACTGTGAAGATTCCCCCCGTGGCTGGGATGAGCGCTACCTCACCTAGGTCGGTGCTGAACGTGGAGAGGAGTTCTTGGGCGAACTTGAGAGAATTGTTAGTTGGGGGGAGATTGGAGTTGGAGTTGGAGATACTACTATATTGGCTTGGGGTTTGATTGGTTTGGGTTGGGGTTGGGGCTTTAGGGGAGGTGGGTAAGGTAGGTATGTAGATATTTGTTTGATATATTGCTTTTATATTGATGTGAAATATGCACTTTTGTGACACAAGGTCCAAAGTGACGAGGTTATGTCCATGTACGACCTAGTGGGCATGACAAAAGGGTATGTATGTTCATGAAAAGAAAAGGGAAAGACATACATAAGCAGCTCTTAACATCCATTTACATTGTGTGCAGTATTTGATCGTGATGCGTGGGAGGTGTACTTTTTCTGTAGCGACGGATGTCTTTTTCTGGGGCTCTGGGGTTGTCATTTTTTCCACCCTGAAAATTGAATTTGTCTTGGGATTGTAAAATTTAGTTCTGGTGGGGATATTTGAATAAGTAGTCTTGCCTTCGGTTGGTGTTCTTGGGGGGGGGAGAAGGTGGGGTGGTGAGTGATTGATCTATCCGATGGTCGGGATTGATATCGATCGCAAGGAAGTCAATGGCGGCGGATGATGTCAGCGGCGGGTGGAGTTTGCGAGAACGACTATGTAGAGCTTGAGGCTCTTCTTTGTGTGGATTTTTGTTTTTTTTTTTTTTTGCTTATGGCGGACTCTGATTTGTTCAATGGGGTCGTTTTCTCTTGGTTTATGCAGCTTGTTTCCTCCGGGGCTGCTGGTACTGGGTCGAATGCTTACGATAGTGCTTACTGCATACATACAATTTTGAGATGGTGTGCATCTTGCGCTGCAGCTCCCGGGATTTGAATCAGTCATGTCGGTATTATAGTTGGTTCGAGACCACCAAATCTATGATACAAGAAGGACCATCAAATCTGACGCCAGGAACGTCACATCGTCCCTCCGAGGATTTGTGGTGATTTTCTTTTGGAATCTGAGAGGGAAAAAGGACGAAGAAGGAAAAAAAAAAAAAAGAAGCCCACACCATCCATAACAGTAGAACATAGGAAATATCAAGGAATCAAAGATATCACTGGGGAAGAAATGGGCATACCGCCAAGGCTAGAAAGGGAATTTTCAACATATCAAGGCACAAATAGCTCGAAGAGAAAGATAAGAGGAAAAGAGAAAAAAGAGAGACGTCGCATATCGAAGTTTATCGAGGTCATCAACAGCGGATCCCATGGGCCAATGCGACCATACACTGGCCCGTCGTCAGCGTCCGAAGTTCATGCAGGTCCAGCGCGTGTTTCCTTCGGGGGCTGAACAGCTTCACGAGCACCCAGAAATCCCGCGCCTCCCCGCTGATCGGTTGTCGGTACGTAGTCCTGGTCGTGACGAGTGGGTAGCGATACGACGTTTTCAAAGGTCAAAAGAGGTATTGAGAAGAATAAGATTAGGTAGTAAAAGGTGATGTCGTAGCGTTTGAGGGTAGAATGGACCGCTTGGTAGCTCAGTTAATGGCGTGGAATGTCATGGATCCATTACATGACCGTGCAACAGCCTCCCTGCTGCTGAGGGGCGTATGGGTCATCGCGTTTGTCGACCTGGGGAGAGGTTGGTTAGTTTCCTGATTTTGTTTCGATCGCACGAGCTAGACGTTGAGTCCCTCGTGGAGGGGAGAATTGACGGCGCATACCTGGCCCCATACGGAAGGTACCATAAAGTCGCGAGTGTTGTTGCAGTAATTAATCAGCCTGCTCCCGTCAAGACGGATGGTATCAGTATCCGTCGGTCGCACACGAGGGGTAGACCAAGTGGTAATTGGGGACGACGTACGACATCGCAGCCTCGGACACTTTGACCCGGGGACGGTCCAGGTCTTCCTTCAGACGAGCATTGAGCTCTGTCAATCGTCGATACTTCAAATCGGCCACACTTTGCTTCTTGTTCTTAACATCCCCTCCCGATCGAAGCTCGTAAGCAGGCATCGTGATAGACTAAATTGTTCTTTGTTTCTTTTTCTTTTTAAATCTTTAATTTTTTTTTTTTTGTTATCGGGACGATTTGAGGTGCGAATTAACTATATGCGCACACACGGGAAGGGAAGGGGGGGGGTGTGTGTGTGGGTTGGACCGGTAAGTAGTAGGAAGGAAGAGAAGGTGGTCAAGTAAGGTTCGCGCGTCGAGCCGAGTAAGGGGAGAGAGAAAGGCGGACACCGACCAAAAGGGAGAGGCTGCGGTTTATGGTGGGAGGAAATTAAATTATGAGCGAGAGAACGACGTTCCAATATTACTTGGGGGGGAAGGGTTCAACGGAGAGAACGACCGAATAGGTTGACCCGGAAATAATGGCTCAAGTGGAATAAAAGAATAAAAGAAGAAGAAAAATAAAAAGAAATGAAGCAAAAAAGGTGAAGCCCCGAGACAAGGATTAGAACTTGGGAAAAGAGTGACAAGTCGAGAAGCTAAGAAAGAGGAGAAAGAAAGGGAAATGAAGAATTGGGTGGTCTGTGAGGCGACCTTTGAACTTTGGTTTGGTTTTTTTCGGGGGGGGGGGGGGAAGGAAAAGGGAATCTCGGATGTTGGTTTTTAATTAACTAACCAACTTTGCTTTCTTTCCCTCTTCTCAGCTTTTCTTATGCTTCCCCCTGAACCTGGGAAAAATGGAGTAGAATAATAGCTAGTCTAGCTAGTCACTTAGTCTCATTAGTCAGTATCTCTTAACAAAAAACACGAAAAAAAAAGGCGGATGATGGATGCCGAAAATGTAGTAGAATTTGGGAACGGATCATCCGATTGTTTATTCATCGAAGCTCTTAAGAAGAAACCCCGAAATTCGTTGGACTAATAGTTCTTCTTATTATGATTCTGATTGATCTGACGTCCGCTTCTGTATTACATTCCTCATTGAATTTCTCTCGCATGAGTTCCAATTCCCTCTCGTGTTCTCAAATCTCAATGTTACCGTACCATACACGACACGTGACGACAGGCCATTGATGGGCTGTTTCATGGTCTACTCCATAGTTGGTAATGAATTCATGTCATGGTCCTTGCCTGTTCTGCAGGCTGGATGATGACTTGTACAAACCAAAGTACTCGACATGATTCAGGTACTACCTAGTACCGTACATACTACAACAAAGTGGTGCCCCAGCTGACTGGTCATGAAGATGGACCCTGGTGGAATGCGACCCCATTGTTCTCCAGCCGGCGTATTGTCCGAGTCCGAGCTTCTTCTTCCAGGATATCAGAATGACTCCGGGCTCACGAACCACCCTGTGGCAAACCCCCCCCCATTCCCTTACAGAAATATAGCCAGGGATTAGACCTCTCTTTGAGTTCCAGCCTAGATTCCATATTGATACCATGACTTTAAGTGAGATATCACGCGGCGTCGCGCTGACTCCTCGTTCATATCACGTGACCCAGGTCGCTTAACCGAAGTGGGAAGCCCTTCGGCCTGTTTTTTGAAATCTCGCACAACGCCCGCCAGAGCCCAAAGATCCCTCCCCAACCGACGTTGAAGGGCCGTCGCGTGGCAGTGTATTCGCAAATAGGGACTTTATCGCTTTCGACACTTGCTGCCCCCCGTTGTCGAGCGAAATCCACCTTTTTTTTTCGCCCCTCGAACCACAGACGTGTGCCGTTTTTGCCATAATTCGATAGGAATCGCTTATCCCGAAGCATTCATCACCCATCATGCCGCCGCCTCCTCATATCAAGCCCGAAAATGTCCTGAAGGTGAGTGGAGCCTTCTACTGCGATGGACATCGATGCAAAATGACGACGGTCGCGGATAACGGAGATGTCTGATGGAAACTAACGCTGGTGTTTTTGCTCGTCTTAGAGGGCTCAGGAACTTATCGCCGTGGGCCAGGCCCCCGCCGCCCTTAATGTCCTTCACGAACATGTCACCTCCAAGAGGACGCGCAGCAGCCCCATCGTGTCGCTGGAACCGGTTATGCTACTTTTCGTCGAGCTGTGCGTGGATCTTCGCAAGGGAAAGGCCGCCAAGGATGGATTGTATCAATATAAGAACATCGCTCAGAACACCAATGTGGCCACTATCGAGGTACGCGAATCATGGAGGACCAGAGGTGGAAACGGTTATCTGTATTGGTTAGAAGCTTACAGGCTGTGTGTATTTGCAGGTCGTCCTCAAGAAGTTCATCGAACTCGCCGAGAAGAAGGTGACCGAAGCCCAAGCCAAGGCCGATGAGATCCAGTCCTCGTTGGAATCCGCCGCCCCCTCGACTAACGTGGAGGATTTGGAAGCCATTGAAACCCCTGAGACCATCCTTCTCGCCACTGTTTCCGGTGAGCAGTCCCGTGATCGTACCGACCGTGCTGTCGTGACCCCATGGCTCAAGTTCCTTTGGGAGACCTACCGGACCGTTCTGGAAATCTTGAAGAACAATGCTCGTCTCGAGGTTATGTACCAGACTACCGCCCTCCAGGCCTTCCAGTTCTGCCTGAAGTACACCCGCAAGACGGAATTCCGCAGGCTCTGTGAGCTCCTCCGGAACCATGTGCAGAACGCTGCCAAGTATTCTGCTCAGATGCACGCTATCAACCTCAGCGATCCCGACACTCTTCAGCGCCATTTGGATACCCGTTTCCAGCAGCTGAATGTGGCCGTTGAGTTGGAACTCTGGCAGGAGGCTTTCCGCAGCATTGAGGATATCCACACCCTTCTGAGCCTCAGCAAGCGCCCGGCCAAGAACGTCATGATGGCCAACTACTACGAGAAGCTGGCCCGCATCTTCCTGGTTAGCGAGAACTACCTTTTCCACGCCGCTGCCTGGAGCCGCTACTACAACCTCCTCCGCCAGTCCGCTGCCAGCCTCGCTGCCGGCCAGGGTACCAAGAAGGAGAACCCTTCCGTTACTGATGCCGACATGACCAAGGCCGCCTCTTTCGTCCTCCTGTCTGCTCTTGCCATTCCCGTGATCAGCACCTCTCGTTCTCGTGGCGCCCTGGTCGACGTGGACGAGGTTCGCAAAAACAAGAACACTCGCCTCACCAACCTCCTGGGTATGGCCCAGTCTCCCACCCGTGCGGTTCTCTTCAAGGATGCTCTCAACAAGGGTTTGCTCAAGCGTGTTCGCCCTGAGATCCGTGACCTCTACAACATCCTCGAGGTCGACTTCCACCCCTTGTCTATCTGCAAGAAGATTACCCCCATCCTCAAGCAGATTGGTGCTGATCCCGAGATGGAGAAGTACGTTGTGCCTCTGCAGCAGGTCATTCTGACCCGCCTCTTCCAGCAGCTGTCTCAGGTCTATGAGTCGGTTTCGCTGAAGTTCGTGTACGAGCTGGCCCAGTTCCCCGACCCCTTCCAGGTCACCCCCGCCATGATCGAGAAGTTCATCATGAACGGCTGCAAGAAGGGTGATCTCGCCATTCGGGTAGACCACATCTCGGGTGTCCTTACCTTCGACAGCGATGTGTTCTCGTCTGCTAAGGCCCTGCACTCTGGTAGCGCGGCTGGATCTGCTGAAAGCGAGGTGGGCTCGGTGCAGCGCATGCAGAACACCCCTGCGGAAATCGCTCGCCTGCAGCTCACCCGCCTCGCCAAGACTCTTCATGTTTCGTGCATGTATGTCGATCCCTCGTACAACGAGGCTCGTCTGCAAGCCAAGCAGGCGGCCCACGCCCGCGCTGCTGTCGGTGCTGCCAAGGAGCATGAGGAGACCTTGGCTCGCCGTGTCGTTATCGACAAGAAGAAGGAGGCCGCCACTGATGCTCTGCAGCGTAAGCAGAGAGAGGAGGAGACCCGCAAGCGGATCCGTACCCAGCAGCTCCAGGAGGCTGAGAAGCAACGTCTGCTTGATGAACAGCGCGAGCGCGAGAAGAAGCGCATCAAGGATGAGCAGGATCGGATTCGCGAGCAGGAACTCAAGAAGCAAATTGAGGAGTTGAAGAGCGGAGTGAAGGGCATTGACCTCAGCGAAGTTGATCTCAAGGACCTCGATGCTAACCGCCTCCGCGCGATGAAACTCGCCCAGCTCGAGAAGGAGAAGAACGAGCTGAATGATCGTATCCGTACCACTGGCAAGCGTATTGACCATCTGGAGCGTGCTTTCCGTCGCGAGGAATTGAAACACATTCCTGCCGACTACGAGGCACAGAAGAAGCGTGATATGGAGCTCTACGAGGCCACAAAGGCTGAGACCCTGAAGGAGGCTGAGGACAAGCACAAGGAGGCTGTTGCTCTCAAGCACCGCCTCAGCCGACTGGTACCTGTGTTCAACACCTTCCGCAAGGATGTCTCTGAGAAGCGCCACGAGGAGTTTGAGAGGCGTCGCAAGGCGGCCGAGAGAGATTTCGAGGCTAAGAAGAAGCAACGTATCAAGGAAGTGCAGGACCGTAGGCGCCGTGAGAGGGCTGAGCGTGAGGAAGCTGAACGTCACCAGAAGGAGGAAGAGGAACGTATCAAGCGTGAGGAAGAAGAGCGTGCTGCCAAGGAGGAAGAGCGCAGACGTGTTCTGGCTGAGGAGAAGGCCAAGCGCGAAGAGGAGAGAAAGTGAGTTCACAGCTTTGATCCCTTGTGGCCTACTTTGTCGATGTTGGAGAATGTTGCTAACCTCCCTTATAGGAAACTCGATGAGATGGCCCTTAAACAGAAGCAGCGCGAAGAGGAGGCCGAAGCCCGTCTTGCTTCCCGGAGAGCCGGTGTTCCAGAGCCGCCCACCCGTGCAGAGCCTGAACGTACTGCTCCTCGCCTCAACCTGGCTCCTCGCACTGGTGGCGGTCCTAGCTGGAGAGAGCGTCAAGCCGCCAAGGAGTCCACCGGCGGTGCTGCTCCTGAGCCTGCCAAGGAAGAGCCTGCTGCCCAGCCTCCCCGCAGAACCGGTGGCTACGTGCCTCCTCATCTCCGCTCTGGTTCTGCAGCTGCCCCTGCAGCTTCCCCTTCTAACGGCGCTGCACCATCTCGCTACGTGCCCCCTAGTGCTCGCGACTCCGGTTCCTCCACCCCCCCTTCTCGTACGCAAACCCCCGCTACTACTTCTGAGGAGCCTAAGAGCGGTGGAAAGTGGGTGCCTCGGTGGAAGCAGCAACAAGGCCAGTAAATAATTCACGTCATTTGAAAAGTTTCTTGGAATGTTGAAAGGATGTGTTGCTTTTACAGTTTCTCCCTTTTTATTCTCTTTTACCCTCATGTTCGCATTGTCTCCCTCCACGGTATCACTTACCTTGTTTCTATGATGATCGCTGAGACTTCTGGGACATCCTTTAATTTGGTCCCTAGATAGTCTCTCATGTCACCAAATGCATCTATGTTCCATTAAATGAAGTCTCCACCCTCTTCTTCTTTTCTGTCATGTCCGACAGCTACTTTGATGGATAATGCAGAAGCTATGAGTCTCTTTCTTTCACCGTATATGATTTTACCTTCTTTCTGCTTTTGTTGAAACTCTTTCCAATGGGTAATTGGTGGCGTATGATGTCCAATTCATGTTGATTTGACTTGACATTCTTACCTACCTTTTATAGACATTTTGCGGATTTATCCGGGAATTGTTACGGCCATGTCACTTCTAGTAATTGAGTAGCGTCCTTCGTCTGGTTACTTCCTTGGGTGGGTAATTTCCGTTAGGTAGTTCATGGCATTCTTTGTTTATCTGATGTTTCCGTTTTAAACGCCTTACTGTACAAAGCAGAAATTAACTGGTAAAGGAATTTATCTCGACCTGCGAAGAGAAAGAACAGGAACAACAAAGAGAATTGAATAAGATAAGATGTCGGATCTAGTGGGCCGCGGTTGGTAAGGTTAAGTACTTTGAATGAAAGAGATAGACGGGGTGTATGTATGTGTGTATGTATGTCTGGGCTGTCTCATGCTGGTTTTATGTTGAGCATTTGATCAGAACAAAGGAATAAATGTATGACGTAAATGAAAATCTATATACTTAGAAAGGAAATAGTCAAAGATAAAGTAAAAAGGGGGTATGTCGCAGCCTCTAATATTTCACAGATCATTCATATGATGAGGCGATGTTATCGTGAGAATTTCCATCTGGAAGCGATACTGAGAGTCGCAGATGAGAAAGAACGAAGAACAACAAAAGTCGTGAGGTTGGTTTTAAGCAGCAGCGGCGGCGGCTTCTGCGCCGGCAGCTCCGAAGAGTCTCTCCCTCCATTCTCCGCACACGGCTTCGAAGCCGCTGACGACGTCTCCGCACTCGCGCCCGGCTTCCCGGTCTCGGAGACGGCGATCCCAATCGCCTTTCTCAATCCACCGGGTGCCCTCTTCGCGACCTTCTTCTTCACGGCGGAGTTCAGAGACAAGTTCGCGAGCAGATCGGAGCCTTCGAGAGGCGGTGGCTGTTAGCTGACGCGATTCGTAAAGCGTATCGCTCAAGCTTTGTAAAGAGAGTGTGATTTCGGATGTTTGTGAGACGAGCGATTGGAGGGAGTAGAGTGGGTTCAGAGCGGGTGAGTGCGAGGGTGTTGCGGGTCTTGATGAGTGACGGGATTGGACCGGGAAAGGATATGGGAGGTTAGGTAAGAGCTCGTCGTCGATCAGAGGGATAAGCGAATCAATGGCATCTTCAGAGAGAAGAGGGAAAGGAGAGAAAAGTAGAGGGTGGGTGAGTGTTTGGAGAGTCCGAGTTTGGTGGGTGAGATGTGAAGTGATAGAAGAGTGTGCTGTGATAAGTCTGTGCAGAGAAACCGGAAATCAGTATAATTACTTTATAGAAGCAAATCAGCTTGGACTGAAACAAGGCCTTACCTCATAGCATTATTCTCGATCCCACTCTGCCCCCCAAGATCCCGAAGTGCCTCAACAACGCGAGCAATGGCATGATCACTCTCACTCCCATTGTTTTCCAGTCCCCGCCGAGCTAAGCTCTCAACCTCCGCCATTTGCATCTCTAGACTTGGCGAGATATCCGCAGCTTCCTCTAGGTCCGAGTCAGGGCCATAGTCTGAACCGTCATACTGTGATTCAGTTCGGCGATGTCGATGACCTCCATTCCGAGTCTTAGGTTTTGGAGGTTGTAGAGAAGCACGCTCGGACGAGTAACCCGATGATGGTGTCCTAGTTCCCATGTGATAGCCGTCTTCCGAGTCGCTGCGATCCATATGTTGCGAATCCGCAGGGATATGTTCGACCTCCTGTCCTGACGCATACCCATAGCCACCCTCCTCCTGCTCCCAAGCATCAGCCAGTTCGTCTGCAAGGTTTCCCAAGCCACCCCCGCCCATGTCCGCAGCACTTCCAAAGTCACCCGACATTCTATAATGAGATCCGTTTATGCTTTGCGCATGGTGTCCGCGGGCCGGAGATGACGGGGCTGAAAAGCGAGGAGACATAGGCGACCTTGGTGGACTATGAGAGAAGCCATTTGGAGCATAGGTGCCCGGAGAAATGGGGTCAAAGTCGATGCTGGATTGACTCTGATTATGGCGGTGAGATAGCCTCAGGGGAGATGGTGGGATGGACGGCATGGTTCAATCCCAGCCAGTTGAATAGATGATCGGACAAGGAGGAAGTAGGAAAAAGAAAGAATGCAGATGTCACTCGGTCAACGTCTTAATATAGCGGACCGAAAGAGTCGTTAGAAATTGCAGCTGCAAGGGTCCCTCCGATGGTCTCGGAACGTGACTAGGGGGGGCGGCGCGGAGGGGGACAAGTAAAGTAAAAAAGGATGTCAACAATACGCGGTCGACCGCATCACCAGGACGCTCAAGGAAATATATGTACAAAGGAGAGACGGAATCAGACTCTGCACATCAAAAGCAGATCAAGATATTTACCAGTGACAATGTTGTGAGGGAGGAAAAGAATGGAAGATAGCGTGAAGTAAAATAAGGGAAAGTTGCGTCCGTCCAAATCATCGGCCAGAGCGCCATTTTTCCCGTGACCGCCGAAGCCCCAATTGGGCCGATGGTTTCTTTCCCCACGGCGGAGCTTCAATTCAATTACCTTTCACGACAATAATTTCCCACCTTATTCCTCTGTTTCGAATATCTATCACTAATTACCTATTCTTATCCTTCCGTTCATATTAACTTTCATTTCTTACTGACCACGCCACAATGAGTTCCATCCGGCGCATGTCCCCAACGGACTTACTCTCCCTCAACCTCACGAATCTCGACCCATTAACGGAGAACTATGACCTGGGTTTCTACCTCAATTACCTCATGCGGTGGCCCTCCCTCTTCAGCAGCGTCCAAGACCGCCGGGAAGGCATCGTCGGTTACAGTATGTGGACGGAATAGTCATAATACTTGTTCCATGGCACCTAGATTTAGAATCAGGGCCCCACTACATATCGCATATGCATGTCGCTAACGTGGCGCCGTTCACATAACAGTCATGGGAAAGACCGAAGAACAACACCCATCTATGCGTCACTCCGAACACTATACTCCCTGGCACGGCCACATCACCGTCTTAACAGTGGCGCCCGCATGGCGTCGGCTTGGCCACGCTCGCCGTCTCACGGAGCGACTCGAGCGTGGATCTGACATCAACGACGCCTGGTTTGTTGACTTGTACGTCCGAGCTGGGAATAAGATAGCGGTGGATATGTATAAGGGAATGGGGTGAGTATCCCGCTATTTGATGTGCATGGCGTAAGTTTTGCAAGGCTGACGAGGGCTCGTACCACAGATACTCTGTATTCCGACGGGTGGTTAATTACTATAGCGATGATCCGACAGGGATGTCGGATTCCGGTGAAGACGCATTTGATATGCGGAAACCCTGCTCTCGAGATAAGAATCTACAACATGTGCGGGAGAATGGCGAGGATTTCCTTGTTAGTCCGGAGGATGTTTCATAGAGTTCCTGGTCCGCTTCGATGTTTGATTGGGTGTGCGCATCTTAAAAAGCTCGGTATATCTTAGCATTGAGGTGTTTAGGTGTTATCTTTGACCTCTCCCTTTTGCAGTGCTTCGCGTTCTACTAGATAATGTTGATGTAAATGTGTACGGAGTAATGAAAACGGCAGTGAGTGGAACGTACGCTCTAGGAATGTTTCTGGCGCTTAGAATACTGTAGCGTCAAACGTACTGAAATTCTAGTCTATCTATTCAACATTATGTATATACGTGCAAATTCTATCGCAAATCTCTATGAAAGCATGCAACTTTTGTAGGACCCAAAACTCCAGCCTCCCGGCATGATGCAATGACTTCGTATGGAGAAACCGTCCGATCATTTCGATCTGTTTAACTTGAGGTGTACCGTTAGGGGCCGACTGTGCGACTGGCGTTCTCGATGAATCCCCCACTGAAACGTGAGCCCCAGGAGAGTTATGACCCCGTCTCTATTCTGGCAAACGTGTAGCGACACGGAAACCCTGAGAAGGGACGCTGATAGCTCTAAGTTAGAGTGGCTTCATTTTTCCTATCACCCCTTAGCCCAGAAGAGCAAGAACGGCGTTTCCTCATTTCGCCCGTAAGCCTGGTAGAATGAGATATGGCACCAGAGTTTAGGCTTTGACAGCAAAGTGGAAGCCAGTGCGAGACAGTCTCAGCGCAGCGAAAATTGAAGAAGCCGTGATGAGACAGCAGGCAGTGAAGAGTTGGACACCAAGATACTTATGAGTGCTGTCCAGTATGGCACCGCCGATCGGTGTTCCGATTAATAGTCCGAACGAAGTGGTTGAGAAGACCATACCCAAGCGTGTTCCCAAATTACGGATGTCCTTGGTCATGCTAGCCATAACCACCGGCGGCAGCGACACGAAACCACCGGAAGTGAGACCATATAGAATAGCCAAGACAATGATACCAGGGACGTTGTGCACACCAATCCAAGCAAAGGCAAGAATAGCGGTAGCGGTAGCGGCAGGGGTGAGGACGTTCAAAGGGCCGGTATGGTCGGCAACGAAGTTGGGCAGGACTCGTCCAAAGGTGGACCCGGCGTTCAGCATTGCAAGAAGATAGAAACCCAGCTTGGAATCTACAATCCCAGTCTCGATAGCGTAGGACTGAACGTAGAATAAGAAGTTGTAGAACCCCAAAAAGCCCATGAACATAGCGAGGGAAAACATGACAAATTGCGGTTCTTTGTACGCTGAAAGCTGAATCAGCTTACGTTTCTCCTTAGGTTGGAAGCGCATTCGCATGAGGCAACATGAGATACAGCAGGTTCCGAAACAAAGGAACCCTACTGCACGCGTAGCCCACTCGAACCCAACACTCTGCTGTAGTTGATTGAACATTATTGGGTAGATCACGCCACCGATGCTGCTTCCCGAAGCAGCCAGTCCATTGGCCAAACCTCTCTTCCTTTGGAAGTACTGAGGTAGGATGGCGACAGAGGGGACGAACAGGCAGCCGGCGGATAATCCGATAACGACCCCTTGTGCGAGAATTAGGTGCCAAAACTTGGAGGATAGACTAGTCATCATAAGGCCAAATGGCAGCCCAACAGTCCCAAAGGTGATAAGGCCACGGAAATAGCCTGCATCAAATAGGGGACCAGTCACGACCCCAAACAACATGAGAAGGAACGACTGCAAGGATCCAATCCAAGCAATAGAGTCTGAGGACATGCCGGACAAGAAACTTTGTTCGTAGTATGTTTGGAATGCACCCCATGTGTTGATGACACCCCTAAATCATGACCAAGTAAGCGAGTTGCCTCTCAAGTAAAAGCTATATGTCCAAGTGAATGGCACGACATGTGCATGGTACATACCAAGAATTGAAGAACAAGAAGAACGAGCCAAGGACTTGCAGCCAGGTATTCAACCCCGTGTCAAATGTTGGCTCTTCGGTTTCCCCCCCAGACGAAGAGTCCGACAAATCGGATGTCTGTTCGCTGCCATTGTGAAGATTGTTGCCTGCCCCGGAATCCACGACAATCTTTTCTTCGATATCAGCATCCGTACCCATATTGACAGCGCCTCACTTGCGGTTAGACAGCCTTTCTGCGAATGCAGAAACACATAGAAGACACAAGCAAGGACGAAAAGGACGGGAGGATGAGATAGACACGCACAACGAGGCTGTGATCAAGTTGAGGAAGTCGCTTTTCGACAAAGTCTGGCAGACTGGTGGTAATGATACCGCAAATAGATAAGCGAAGAGAAAACTACAAGTGGTCTGAGACCGGAAAAGCGGAGATTTATACATTGGCATTACAATTTCTCAGCGCCTTTGTCTCAGCGGGCCGATACTAGGCTAAGCTCGCGCACCAGGTTAAACCCAGGGCCGGTGGAGACTCTCGGGGAGATGGCCCACAATCACGGGGCCCATCCTTCAAGAAAAAAGAAAGAAAAAATTGTGAGAAAAAGCAGGCCAGCCGCTAGAACAGAGAATTTTGTGAGTGACCCATCGGTGGAATGCACCCTACTGGCTAGCGACTGAATTACCGAGTACACAGGGCGTCAACCGCTTCACGGCGCATTGCCGACGGTGACTGCCATATCCGATGCTGAATCTTCAATCCTGAGGTATCGAGATTCAACTGCAAAGCTACCCCAAGTATTGAGAATGCCAACACCTGAGCTTCAGACCGACCATGATTGAGACCTGTAGTTTCATGGGGCCCCGTCATTGACTCAAGGAAGAGTGGTCGGCAGTCACCGCATTAAACGTCTAGCCGAGTGGTGTGTCGACGTGCCGATTATCCAGCGGGGAAGGAGACCATATTATTAATCCATGTCGCATTCAATCTTTTAAAGGAAGATCTTCTAGGAATCTTGGCTGTCTTGGTATCAATTGGTTCAGCCCATACAACCGTATATCGGCCCCAAAAAAGGAGGTAGACGAAATTAAGGTCCTTTTCCATGAGTCACGACCCAGTGGAGTCTGCGGAGTTCCCATTTCAACTCCGAGTGATAGATTTGTACGGAGTATTGATACGAAGCCCTAAATCTCCACGTGGGGGATTATGATGCGGCCTTATCGATTGATATCTGCATGAAGGCCATTATCGTCCGTCTGGCAACCAAGGACCTCCGTATCATAAGCAGCGATGTAAGAAGGTCTACAGTATCAGAATGTGGGGGAACTTTAAAAAGGTCCTTGATCGCATGTTTATCTTTGCATCGTTTGACAGGATATCTGATCCGGCCCGGAAAAGCTTCCTCCCGGTGCAGACCCTAGAACGGCTTCAATCAATGTACTTAGTTACGGAGTTAGCTCCTGAGTTCTGTCAACCCTCCCTCTCTATACCTGGTTCGATGTCTCCACTACATCTTACGTTAGGGCAACTTTATTGAGCTTGGCTCTGTGTCCGCTTCGAAGCCAAGCCGCGGTGCATGACCTAAACAACCGACACTCATTCCATAGTAGTGGCATCAGTCCTGAGTTATAGTAGACCAGATAGAGACAATTTGGGCTGGCCAGTCCGTATATTACGGTCGTCAGGCCCGTCACTAATGGGATATAGTGTGTAGAAGCTGTCAAGAATAGAAGTGTATGATGCTTTCCGAAATTGGACACTGTGATGCCCTTCAGAAACCTTCAACCATTCAGGGTGGAATCACCTATATCAAAACACGTGGGGCTTAGAAGCCAGTTCTTCTGAGTGAATACCCACAAGGCTCGCAATGACCCTGAAGTCCGGTCCCGGTAATCTCATCGAACGGGTACTGTACAGGCAGTAATGTCTCGTCCTGAAGTGCCCATGACCGGGGGTCCACGGCTAATGTGTAGAAAAAGTTGTAATACTTTCGTGAAGGTAGCAAACTGGTCACCATTAATCCGGATGCTAAGTGTAAACGCGCGTCTAAAATTACTTTATAGTAGCATGGCAAGGTCCTATGAAAAGCAATAATGTCAACATCAAAACTATTTTTCTTTTTCTATATTGAAATAGACTGTACTGCGTTATCGTTTTGAGGTTTTTTTTTCCCCTTCCCAGTGACCTAGGCTGGCTAGCCATTGTGGTCCGCTTTCCTACTCCAAAACTCCAAACGCTATGCTGCACACAAGGAATGAAAGAACGTACATGATAGAAAGAGCCCAATTTCCAATACACAGCCACCCATCCCATCTTTTTATTTAGAGTAATTCTTCGCATGTCCAGTCCTCGTACCTAAATGAGAGAAACAACAGTCAGCCTGACTCTGTAAAACTAGGGAATCAAGATGCCGCTTACCATCCATCAGGCAGATATCTTCTCACAATAAGGGGGATTTTCTTCTGGTTCAGTTCCTTGATGGCGATCTGCAAGGGATCTGTCTCTCCTTCAAGATCCACAAGCACAGGAGCGTTCATACTATTAATATGTCAGAGTAACAATCCCCAACGTTCAGTAAATACCGATCTATGACCCACCTTATTTGCAAGGCCCTGGTGCCCAGAACACGCGCCCGCTCATACTTGGTCATGTAGGGGGTTGTCGTGCGCTGGTCGTTTGGCACCTTCCTTTCCCGCACTTGCTCCATCACTTTCCCAGAGTATCCGGCGCTGGGATCGCCCGAAACGACAACGCGATCTCCATTGACTGCGGGGGTGTAGTGGTCCTCTCCGTATGCTTCTGCGCCTTCCACACCTTCAATGTCTTCGGGGTTCAAGAAGTCTTCGGGCTCATTGTCATCGTAGTCCTGACCGGCGTCGAAGTCATAGCTAGAAAAGTGTTAAACCAGAAGAACTTCTATTGAGACAACCATCGGCAAAGAGATCATGTTTGGCGCATCCTTTTCTCTTTGCGCTAGCTGTAGGTTGCTGTGGAGAAATGGCTTCTTACTTGTCCTCGTCACCGTGGTCACCGTAGTCAGACATTGTGCCTGTTTAAGAGCGAAGGAACGGGGGAAAGATGGAGAACAAGTGCCACACAAGCGAATGAAAAGCCAACACGGAGTCCCGGACGATTTGGGGTGAAGCGATTGATGTTGCGACGGAGCTTCCGAGTGAAGAATTCGATATCGCGACTCTAGAAGGCGGCGGAAAAAGTTCCTTAGGCACTAGTCCCCTTTGGGCGTTTAACCTCACCGCTCTAACAGCATTTTCCGGCAAAATTTGACGATAAGCGTTCTTAATTAAATTTATCATCGTTCTCAACTGTCGCTCTTTGGTTAAATTCTTGTCCTAAATGAGATCATAGGCTTGGGGGCAGTAACCCTAATACTCCTGAGCTATGGGCCAAAAAAGAAAAGCTTCGGAAGGCTTTGATACTCCCAAGAAAATCCTCAAGCAGACGGCACTGGATGATACCGGTAAGCTCTCTTCTGGCCTTAATCATCATTGAAAAAAAAAAAAAAAAAAAAAAAAAGACTAAGCATTATTCAATGGATATAGACCCAATCTATGAGGAAGCTCATTCCGATTGCGACTACGTTTCATCAGATGAAAGGAGCATAGATAGCAATAGCCTTCATGAAACCCCGGCAACTCCGATCTCAACAATCTCAGCCAGGTACCCTTCCGAGCTGAAGACTCACCGCTGCCCTTTCGCCGGATGCACAAAGGCCTTCAATCGTCCAGCTCGCCTTCAGGAACATATTCGTTCGCATAATAACGAAAGGCTCTTCCAATGTACACACGATAACTGCGATAAGACATTTTTGCGAGTTTCGCATTTGAACCATCATATCAAGAGCGCTCACACCGGAGTCCGAGATTACGTATGTGACCGGCCGGGGTGTGGGAAGAGCTTTGTAACTGGGTCCCGTCTTCGTCGCCATTTGGCTGCTCATGATGGAAAAGAAAAGTACCGCTGTACGGAATACCCTCCTTGCAATGAAACCTTCCGAAAGCACTCGACCCTCCAGAAGCATATAACGACCGTCCACTTGAACCGAAAACCGTTCCAATGCCCGCATATTGACCCAAGTACTGGTCAGAAATGCTCTATGGCTTTTGACACAGCTGGTCACCTGCGAGCACATGAGAGTAGAGTTCACACTGAGAAGCGCTTTAGCTGCACGGAGTGCTCGCAGCATATGGAAGTAACCGACCCGTCCTCAGGTAATCCTTCGGCTGGCATGTCTGCAGCGACTTTCCCTACCTATGCTCTTCTTCAGGCTCACATCAAAACCGCCCATCCCCCACAATGCCCTAACTGTTCTATCACATGTTCGACAGCCCGTGAACTACGTCGGCATCTCGAAGTTGCACACGGAGATGTGACACTCGAAGAACGAAAGGTATTCCCATGTGTAGTCCCCGGGTGTGATCGAAGCTTCACGAAGAAGGGGAACTTGACGGTCCATATCCGGACCGTTCATCAAGGAGAGAAACGGTTCGTCTGTGGCGAGACGGATCTCTCGAGCTCCAGAAAGGTAGCGGGGTGGGTTGGCGATGGATGTGGAAAGCGATACGGAAGCAAACTCGCTCTTGAAGAACATATTCGCACCGCACACCTTGGCTGCCTGAATGCTAAAGCCGAACGACGACAACGTCTTGGTCTGGGCAAAGGACAACATAATGCTCAAAGTAGACCCACTGGTATATCAGCGCTGGCCGCTCTGACGGGTGATGGCTACGCCGAGGAAACAGGTCGCCACATTCGGTGTTTCTTTGACACTTGCGCGCACCGCTTTCACCGCAACTATGACCTTTGGGTGCATATGGGCAGCAAACACAGTTGCACTGAGGACGAGATCCGCGATATGTTCATGCAGCGAGCATTGCTGGCTGAAGACCCAGAGCCTATTACTGGTGACATGCTTGGAATCTACGGCCTTGAGTTTGACAACGACCCCTCTTATGAACCGTATATACTCGGGGAAGCCTCGGGTGCGAGCGCAGGCCTGGGCGCAAAGAACGAAAATACTCTTGCGGATTTGAACCCGCCAAACTTCCCTAGTAACCTGGAGTTCGACTCCAACTTTATGATGCAAGATATTGATTCGAAAACATCAGATGCTGACGATATGGCGATGATTGACCCTTTCCTAGCGTATAATATGATGGACGCATAGGGAATCCGTACATTAATCTCGTGTTCTTCTCAGCGACACCTGGCGACGCCTTGTTTTTTTCTTTCTATTATACACATTGATTTCTTTCTTTTTCTATCTTCTTTGCGCAAATGATACCACAAAAGTACCTCACTGGCTAGTTCAGATAATGAAGTAGATGCAACTCTATCTCCCAAAGCATGATCCCACTTCAATCAATTTAGGTCATTTATAAAGAAAATAACCCTTGGCACTCTTCATCTTTCCACATCCCGCCTAATGTGTACAAACTCCAGTACTCAATAGCCAAATCTCCAGGGAACAGAAAACACACATAGACATCGAGCTGTAGTAACCATTAGCATACGCAGGCCCTAATAACTTCCGCGAAAGAAATATCTTCGTACCTTGTTATGTAAATAATAGCCCACGCTCGAGTACAAATATGGGACTCAAGCTAGGCTGTGTTGGCTCCTGGTGAGTAGGTACTGTTAAGGGAAAGTGAGAGAAGCAAGATATGGTTATCTAGTCTAGTGAGTTGAGTTCCTTCCCACCTTTTTCTCCCCCAATATTTTCTTGTCTTCGCAATATGTTGATGATTTGATACAGGAACAGTTGTGATCCTCTTTATGGAACAAGGTATGCTCTCCTTTAACAATGAGAATAGTAGGGCCTGCGCTTGCTGCTGAGAAAACGGGTGAACTGTGCACGCCCAAAGTTGGACTGGAGGGAAGATTTCTGCAGAGTATCGAATGAGATAGAAGAGAGGCGAAGACAGAAAGAAGCGCAATAGACAAGAATTGGAAACGACCATAAACAACCCTGAATTAACTAACCATCATCCATAAGCCATTATTTGTGTTTGTATTTCAAGAAAGCCCAGTTCGAGAGGCTGAGTATTTTCCAAGTTCTTTTTTAGGACAAAAGAAGTTTTTGTTCGTTTCCGAGGTAGCAGATCCATGATGTGCAATAACCACACCAATTTCACTATTTCTCTGAGCTTTAATCATGTATCCTCAGGCTGCTCGCTGTGCATTGCTGTAGCCGGCTTGATGACACGACATTCATGCGCCTCTACCAAGGTAGTTCGTTCTATTGCTCGGGTTAGGGCAGGGACTGTGGCTGGAAGGCGTGTTGGCTGTGGAGCCTCAGTCCTGCTCTTCTAGTCAGAAGAGATGGAGGTCAGATAGATGATTCTGATTTGAGGTGAAGTTATTATGAGAGTAACTTACCAGCTCATTTCCAAGGACATGTCTCCCCCTTGGACGAACATCCACCGGAGACGATGTCCCAGCTAGGCTTCCCTGGATCGCAACAGTATGTTCGAGTGTGCGCATCTCTTTACGGAAAGAACGGCGAGGAAGCGAGGCTTCTGATAGCTTGAAGCTCTCATCAGGCCCTTTATAGAAAGACACATTCCCGACAAGATCAGCTGTCAAACTCTGGTTGGATCGCCACACATCACCGAAGTAGTCTGGGTTGCAGCGGGATAAGGCCTCGTCACGGTAGGGAAAAGGTGTAGAGCGACGTGATCGAACTCCATCTACCGAGATCCTGATCTGTGTAAGATGCTGTAAGAAAGAGATGTAACTGTCATTGGCCCTCGTTGAAGGTTTGTGGAGGGTGAATTGTCTAGCGATATCACAGAAGAGATGTACGGCAGCTAATCCTCTTGCTACACTCAGCCACAGAGCCGTTTTGAGCATCAGGTCGAGAGATACATTGCTGGAATCCTCAGATGGCCAATGAGCCAAATCCCCCGGTTCCGCTTCTTCGGCAGATGCGCGAGGGGTTCTCGCCGACGATGGTGGCAGCCAGCCAGACGCGCGCGCTCTGGCTGGGTCTGATCCTGCTAGGTGGTTTTTGTAGTACTGATGAAACACGGTAAGCTCGATATCGGACTCTGAAAAGCCGTCCCAGCTCAGGGAAGCCCTGCACGCGCGGAGTCGAATGTCCCTCATGCTCATCATTGCTGCTCGTTCTTGGGATACAGGGAGAGGGTTGTAAATAGTTTCTAAGCAGGTCATCAGTTTGATGATCCAAGTTCGAAGCGGACTCTTTACTTACTGTGCTCATCTTTTGATTTAATTGCTCGAAGAATGTCTTGCTTGAACTCCTCAATGACTTTCACCGATGCCTCGAGCTGCTGGCACACCTTCACAATATGAGGATATCTGGAGTTCATCCAGTAGACACGCGTAGCATCCTCCCCACGCAAAGGCGCCAACAGCTTTCTCAGCATCTCGAACTCGGTGCCGAAGAACGTCTCGTCAGTGATACTGGTATTATCGGGATGAGTAATCGCCCAGCATTTGTAACGCTCACGAAGCCATTTCTCCAAATTTGCCTGGATTCCTTGCATCTTGCCACAGCTCTCGAGCAGAATGATTGATAAGTGAGCATACGATCCGGGGAAAAGGTTGTCAGATAGCAGGGGAAGGCTGGTTACGACCTCTCTGGGAAAAAGGCCAGGGTCGAAGCCTTTGGTGAACTGCTGCATCAGCTCTTCCATTCTCTTCTTTTCAGTATCGGTGATCTCTTTCGCTTTCTCGTCCGGCAATCCAGAGCCATGGGTATTCAACGGAATATCAATGGCCGAGGCAGAGTTATCCTCTTCAAAATGCTCCGGAGGGAGCGTAGGGCAAAGCTTGAACAGCTCCATGTTGCATTACCGATAAGATACTCGATAGAAACATTCAAGACCAGGTACCAGGTTCTGCTATGCTTTAGTAGAAGCAAGCCAAAGAGGAGGAGATGGCATAGAACCGGCACAGGTTAGTATGGGGAGAATTAGACAAACTTCTCAGGGATTACCTAGATAGTGAATCTAGATCGTTATAAGTATTCTTAGTCAAGGTTGATGAAGAGATCCACAGGCGTGTCTCTGCTGCATGACCGTGCAAGAGAAGATGAAGTAGAGAATGATAGGAAACAAACAAGGCCAACACGACAACAGACGGCGTGAGGGGTTCATGAAGTGAATGAGACAAAATCCGG